TCTACTTAGCCACTTCCGCTTGGTCCAATCACCTTTTACCTTTTCATTCACTGGGAAAAAGGATTGCTTGTATTCTAACCAGTAACATCAAGTTTTTATGATACCTTACTCAGAGGGTAGATCACGTAATTTATAAACTCGGTTTCAAGACACACGGATATTAAAGATTTCAAGAACATTATAAGGCATTACTCATCAAAATATCTAAGCTAAAAAAGTGATAGAAAACGACTGAAGACTCAGTAGAACAACGCAGACCTTAAGCTTAGTACACAAAAGAGGAAGACGAAAGATTTAACATGAGACTAAAAATAACGAAATCAGAGAAAGATAAATTTTTTTTTCCTTCAGGGCATGTCACTTATCAGATCTATCCTCTTATGTGCCTTAATGCCATCAATCCATCGTATTTTGTTAAAAAAAAACAACACTTTGTCACCGAATACTGAAAATGCATATTTGCTACAAGGATGCGTATTTGCTACGAATACGTTTTCCTAAATAAATCGTAAAAAAAGTCCTGAATTGAATTATACGAAAATGGAGGCAGTTCTTCTTTAAAAGCGCAAAACGTATGGAAAAATATTTTGTTAAAAGGAAAGAAAGGAGTTTCATAAGGAAAAATGATTCCTTCATCTTCAAAAAAATATTCAACTTTAAGGCTGAGTTTACCTCAGCCTAAGACAGGATTTTGTTCAAAAATCGACTTGGGAAAGAATAGAAAAAAAATTATTTTAGAGGGCTTGGGTGGAAACTATTTTTTCGTACATGACCTTCGTAATCTGCAGAATTCGAAAATTTATTGTTTTTTGAGGTCTTTGTACCTACGACTGAGTATTTGCTATACGTTTATCTGATAAAACGCGCGCTATTACCTTTACAATGCTCGACATTCTCTTCAGTTGGGTGTTGCCGTTAAAAAGAAAGTGTAAATTTGTGTAAATTTGTCAGAAAGTGACGGAGTAAGTGAGAAATTAAATAAGTCATCGAGTAAGTTGGTGAAGGAGAATGTTAGTGAAAGAGTATGAGTAAACGAGCAAATGACTGAGTGGGTAAGAGAGTGAGAGAGTTAGCGAGGGCTGAGAATGCTTCGCTGCTCATAAAAAATGAAAGATGTTATATTCTACCCTTTGCGCTATTGTTAAACATCGTGTTATTCATTTTTTACCTAATACAAACATCTTATTTTGGACAAAAATAGCCTATTATCATCAATTTAGGGTATAACCGTTTGCCTTAAACGAGCGTCGTTTAAGGCAACGGTTATACCCTGTCGGTTATATCCTATTCAGACCTAGGGTCTGAATGGGGTTAGCCGACAAGCTACAAAGGGCGAAAAGTACAACTGACTCCTGACAAAAAGCAAAAAGGGAGAAATCCGGAATCCGATTAGTGACAAGGAAATATTAACAGATAACCAAAATTGTTCAACAATATCGATATTTGTACACAGATTTTCTGTTCATTTTCAGAACAGAGTGCGGTACTCGAGCTCACGAATTAATTAAAGGATATGAATAAGTAACTTGCATTAACTAAGATTTACCGACTACCGACAGAGATAGCAAATTTAACCAACCACCGACAAAGAAAAAATTCTAACCGACAACCGACATGAGGACCCTTCCCCTCTCTCCCCATTCAGAAATTCGGAAACATTTCATCTCATCCAAACTTTCGTAAATTGTTATTTTAAAATGGCAGATTTTAATGACCAATACATCATAATCGTGCACAGGAACATACATATACATCCGCCATGTAATAAGCCCTCTATTAATCATTTTGTTAGTTTTGTATACAATTTTCGCAATATAAGAATTAGTATTGAAAGCTGTGAATATTTTACAAGTAACACTGTTAATGAAGTTGTTAATGTCGAAAAGGCTTCATCTAGCTCCTTTAAACTTAAAAACTATTATAATGTTTGTAAGAAATATTTTATCGCAGTTTTTTTTTTTAGTTAAATGTTAGTACCGTACGTCTAAACAATGGTGTTTAAGTAGACAATTTGTGGTTTTCAGTTAAAAAAAGAAAGTTATCTTAAAGTTATTTAGAGTTAAATGTTAGTACCGTACGTCTAAATAATGGTGTTTAAGTAGACAATTTGTGGTTTTCAGTTAAAAAAAAAGAAAGTTATTTTAAAGTTATTTCTCCTACGGAACTGTATCTGACTGGAAGGTTTCTTTTTATTCTATTTTGCTTTTCGGCTGTTTCGTGACGGGAAATTCACACAAAAGAAACCGACGGAAAGACGAAATTTTGGGCAAGTTTACAAGTATACAAATCAATTGATAACATACAGTCATGAAGCAGCTAAAATTTTGTCTTTGTTTAGAACAAACCTCGTTTTAGCCTTTTGCAAGTTGCGTATTTAGAGAAGTGGGGAGTCCCCAAGTCTTAAATGCTCACTGTAACGATCTTATTGCCGGCTTATTTCAGTCAAACCATTACAAATCTTTTTGATAAGAATAGCTTCTCTTTGTTTGGACGATGCTTATATATGATCAATGAAATTAGATGTCTACAATGGATAGAAAAACTATATAAGGGAACAGCTTCTAGGAGAGGTACATCATTTCATACCGCAGTGAAATCAGAAGGATCTTTACTGTCCTTGGATTAATCAAGTTCAGAATAGGACCAAAATGCTTACTAAGGTACGATGTGTTGAAAATAGACTCTAGAATTTCAAGACTCTCTTATGAAGCAGGTGATAAGTCAAGTTCAAAGCACAGATGCTACCTGCTTCAGTTATTCTTACTGCAGTTAGTTTAATTACACATTATTTCTCTGAACAGGTGAATGATTTCTTTCAAAATATATTAAGCGCTTTCATGCCGGCATTTTGTGAGTGAGGCCAGTGAAAAGAAGTGTGATAAGTCCTTCCACAAAAACATCTTTAACTTGACGAAACAGATTTGATAAAATAATTCAGTAACAATTAGAATGTTCCCCCTCCCCCCCCTCCCCCCCGCAGACTCGAAATAAAAACCAACACCTGTTCAAGGAGATACACTTAACGGAGCATTCCATTTCTTTCACAAGGTTGCTATCTTTGTCACTGCTGTTTGCTGTCTCCTTCATGAAAAAAGTTGCTCGCCGCAAGGTCTGAAGAAACTACTCAACTCCACCCAGTCTCCTTGGAATGCCACACAGATTGATGCTGCAAGAGGTTCTGTTTTGCAAAGAATCAAGCGTCAACCATCTAATGACGACTGTTGTGTGAAGAAGACGCTTATCCACAATAACCGGGTCACATATCAGTGTCAAAGCGAGCATCCTGATTGTTTTAGTAAATCTGATCCTGGTAGCAAGTTGTTTGGGCAGTGTGAAACTGTGAGAGACGGTAGAAAAAATGTGATTGCTTGTCGATGCGCCGGTAAAAAGTAACTGGAAAAGTTTCTTGATTTGTGTGTTAAAGTGCTATGATTTATTTTTTTATATAAACAGATCAATATTATTTCTGGCAGCCGAAATTACAATCAAGTATTTAAAATGATTCAAACATAAAGGTATTATTAATTGAGTGGCGTTAAGACATTACTGTTGCAGAGTGTTTAAGGATTGTGAAATAAAGAGTTGAAATAAACTTCAAAGTCTACTGTAAGTGCAAAATAGCTAAATGCGTCTTGGTACCATAATGAATACCTTATTAAACAGTCCTTAATTTTGAAAAGTTGCCAATAAAATCACAACCATATCACAAACCGGGATGATTCCAAATTGAGTTAAACTGAACGAAGAATAGTTTGCCGTTAATTCCCCAATTGTACTTAAATTTTGCAATTTTTCTCTTTTTTCGCCATTGCTCAGATAAGAATAATACAATTATTAACCATCTTGGTCATTTTCTTTCTAAGAGGACTTGGAGCAACTGTTTTAAAAACTAAACCCAATTAAAATATTTTCCAATCTTTCCTTCATTTCATGTCCTCTTCATCAGGAAGTGAGTACTAAATGCAACAGAAACATGATTTCCAAAACATACAAATAGATAGGGATATAAAATTGTAAAAAAGTAGCCTTTGCAGCTTTCATTTGCAATTGAATGAGCAATCCCAGTCTTTTTATACCCCAAAGTAGACGGTTTTCATGAGGAATGCTAATTGCTCATCACAGATCACGTGAAATCTTCAAAAGGCTGAATGCTTTCTTTGTAAAGGTTTGAAGAATGAATTTAAGTATGTGTGTAATCAATTTTCACATTAATAAGTCGGGCTATCAAGTAACGTCATATGATCTTTATTGGGATACCCAAACCTCTTAAAGATACAGTCATTCATAGGACTGAAAGCCAATCAAAATATTTTCCGGAATGAAAACAAGGAAAGGAAATGTTTGCGGCATTTAATTTGCTGAAACAACTGGAATATGCGCTCATGCCCTCAATCGTCAACAGGTTCAGTGCAACTTCCGATAAAAATGATGGTGTACTTAAAAGGTCAGTCGGTTAGAATCATTGTTGATACTCAACCGGAAGACGTCAAACAAGATCAAAGTTTATTTATTTAGCCTAATAAAAAGTTTTTCCTCAAATGAAGTTGAAATTCTCTGACAAATTTCGAGGTCAACCCCTCAGATTTCTGTGATGCACTTACAGGCTATATTATACGTTGCTTACATAAGCCGGTAGTTTCTTACGGGAATTAACTTGGAACGGGTCACTCTTTTTTGAAACCCAAGAGCAGTTTCACTATCATTTACATATGTCTATAAATATTTTTCGCTAATTTAGATAACGAAAGACACGTGTAAACAAATAATTTTAATGTGATTAAATCAAGCAAAAGGAATGAGAGAAGAAAGCTTAAAGGAAAACTGACTCGTGTAATATTTACTCTATAGAGATCACTCATTGTCATCGATGGTGCAGAATTGTAAATCAAATTATTCCGATGCAGAGAAGGCAATAATACAGAGGCTAAATAGCCTCTTTTCTTTTTTTTCAAGGCGATTATTAAGAACTTCCCATGATAAAGATTTTAATGAAACAAAGGTCAGTTAGGGTTACTATCTCGTTTTTGACCAGCGCATCGACAAGCAACTACATCATTTTGACTGTTCCGCACAGTTCCACATCCCAAAATACGTTTCGCACATCCCAAAATACGGGCTTCTTTTGGGATCTGATTTACTGAAACAATCAGGATGCTCGCTGCGACACTGAGTCTTGATTTTTCCATTTTGCACTATCTTCTTCTTGACACAGCAGTCATCTTCACGGTAATTTTGAGGCGGCTCAGCATATCTTCCAGACGGAGAGTTTGGCTTAGGAGAACGTGCCCGAATTGATTGGTGGGCGTCTCTGGTGATCACTTTGTCCACGCTCAATTGTTGGCAAAATGCTCCAATGCACGTCAAAAGGATGAAAACCACAATTCCCTGTTGGAAAAAGTTAATACCAAAACGGAATCACCCAATGATTTCAAATCGGTGCTCTTCGTTACTAAAATAAATATCAATGCATTTTTCCCATTTTCTCACTGCCTATTTTAACGTAGACTTCACTCTGAATTTAATCGCATTTCGCATGTCTTCTCTCTAAAACTGAGTTGACTAACTTTGGAGTGAATAAAGGGGTAAGTTTCTAAAGAAACTGTGGTGCTGTGTCGGTGGGAGAGTATAGCAGGTAATTTAGTGTTAACAACTGGGTTGAAAACGTAAATTAGCCACCGTAAAGTTTAAAAAAGCTGACGTTTCGAGCGTTAGGGCTAACGCTCGAAACGTCAGCTTTTTTACCCTTTACGGTGGCTAATTTACGTTTTCAACCCAGTTGTTAACACTAAATTACCTGCTAACTTTGGAGTGCTTTGTTATGACAAAAAACAATTGAATATTAAACTGTACATTATAATTAATTATTATGTTCAGTTTTTTTAAATTTAACTTTCACTTTATTTGAAAGCTGAAAGGCTAATGACACTTAAAGCAGTCTATCCTGTGAAATCCTTAGTAAATAAGTGATCAGCATTCTATGATCAACACTGTTTCTCTCAATTTACGGGGGTGGGCTGAAGTAGGACAAATAGTGTAGCGCTGAAATTGTTTTGAAATCGAGAAATCTAATATAATAATCAAATTATTTTGCAGTCTAGCAAGTCTAGCACTCCACTACCAATTTAAAGCTCCTTTTTTTTTAAATTGAAGTCATTATCTTATAGATTATAATTGATTCCCGTGTTAGCTTTCTTTTTTTTCTTTTCTTTTTGCTAAAACTACTTCCTTTCAAATATTATTTTGGTCTGTTGAAGCATGACTGTGATATGTAAGCCTTAAGGATGATGTTGTAATTTCTTTAGCAATCCGTAAATGCATATTTCAGACAAATCAGTTTATTGTGGCACACTGTACGAAAAGCAAATTTGTTTCTGAAGACAATGTTGTTTCAATAAACTACAACCAGTTCTACCTAAACTCAATAGTGTAAACAGAAAATTAAAGGGCATGTTAAGGTATCATTCAGTGGTATAAGCTGTTTATTTTTAAACCTTCTTTATATTCATGAGTGCGGAACCGGAAGGTAAAAGAGGACCACGCTTGGTAACAAAGAAGAGAAAAGTAGCTATGAATATCTGTTATAGTTATTCTCTTATAACACACATATTTCCTAAAACGTCATACCATCTATTAATGAATGAAGATGAATTTGAATGAAAATGATTTTTCTCTCTTTGGATCTTTTCCGTCAGCAGTGAAGCCCACAACTAAATTCATTATCAATGAAAGGCCCTTTTTGTGGCGTTATTTTATTTTGTTAACTTCTTGGGATTGAATTAAACTTATAGATGAATAAACAGGTACATAAATAAACAACTAAACAAACAAAGGACCATGATTCATTTGCTTGACAGAGATTGTTTGCGTAAAATCTCATATTGTTCAATTGATTAGTTGTATCAAATCATTCTACATGCGTTCTTGGTGTAATAGATCTAGGGTAGATGAAAACCTTAACAACTCTTTATAAGTGGCTTACGAGGGACTTTCTTCAGATCGGAAATCTTGTCACTCATCCAATTTGTTGATAGATGTTGCATTAAAAACTTTTTTTTTTTTAAAGCTATTCTTCACCCTCGTGAACAGAAATATACTTTGTTACCGGCAAAGGGGAAGATGACTGAACTAAGAAAATTTCATGACCCGAAATTTAGCAAGTGAATGGGAATCAACCTATAACTCTATGACGTAATAGGAGACCTTTTTCCCTTGTAGTGCTTCTATGCTCTTCCAGGTTGTGGATGTGAGAAAGGGGAGGCCCCAAGGTGTTACATGTTCTCTACAACGATTGTTAGTATGTTCACGTCAAACCGTTACTCGGACTTTGAATAAAAATATCCTTTCTCCGTTCAGACCAAAATGATAATAACGATCTGTAAATCTCATTATGTCTTGTAATGGTGCAACTTGATGAATATAGGAAAATTTCCCTTTATAAGAATAGCCTTTCTCTGTTTCCCTTTTTATGTTAAAAGTATAAAAGGTATGCACTTTTGAGATGCCCATCAAACTCAGAAAAACCGAGAAGTACCTTTATCAACAGTGCAGCAATCCTATTTAGAACCAAAATGATTAAGGTAAGTTGAATTTCGAATTCAAACTTCTAAACACCCCTTTACTATTTGAGTGATAATTCATATTCTTTGATCAGCAAAATACCTCAAATTTTTCTTCGATGACATTCCTGCCCATATGTTTTCAAAAGTCCTTGAAAAAAACTTTGGAAAATATCAAGCAATGAAAAAGATTCTCCCGTAAAGAAAATTTGAAAGTGTTACAGAACATCCTGAATGGAGAGCGCGGTAAAGCTTTAAATTAAAATCGATAAGGAAAAACCAAAACTTCAACCCAATTTTCCTTTGCTTTCAGAAGACTGTCATCTTTTGCCTTTATAGTTTTCTGTTTTCTTCACGGAACAACCTGTTGGCCGCAAGGTCTGAATAAAGGAAGTCACCAATTCCATCCAGTTCCCTCGGAATATGACAGAGACCAAAAGTTTTATTTCTCAACGAGTCAAGCGTCAAGTCTCTAGTGATGCTTGTTGTGTGAAGAAGACGCTTATCCACAATGGACGAATCACCTATCAGTGTCAAAGTGAGCACCCTGATTGTTTCGCTATATCTGATCCCGGAAGCAAGTTATTTGGGCAGTGTGAAACTGTGAGGAACAGTAAGAAAGTTGTAATTGCTTGTCGATGCGCCGCTAGAATATAGCCGGCTGAGAAAGTTATACATATTTCTATAGAAATGTAATTGAATTTTTTTCCCCTACGATTGAGATAAATCATATTAAAGTACTGTAAAAATGCCAATAAAAAGAATTGTTAGGAAAATAACAATAAAATGAGATCATGAGAAAAAAAAAGACTTCAAAGACTCATTGCTGTGTCGATTACTTGTTCATTGTCCATAATTATGTTTGAACTCTTATGGAAGAAATCAAAGCCTCATGAAAGTCTGAGATAATTATGAGTTAAGATGAACTGAACAGCGTGCGCAATTCATCAGTGTTCTCTTTTTCTTTAAATTTTTTTGGGGCGATATTCCTCTTTTACTACAACTAACGATATATATAAGTTCACCATGCTTTACAACAGAACAGAACACAGTCAAGGCTTCTTTATTTGTTAAATAAAATTTTAGGTAAGCATAGATAACTGGGTTGCAAGATTTCTGACTTGGTAAGCTCTGGATTCCAATATGTAGAATCTTTCAGGGTTTTGCCAGCCGTCTGTCAAGCCAAGAATGCAAGTATTATATAAATTTCAAGCTAAGCGCCTCGGCTAAGCACTGAGTGAGTAAGTGAGTGAGACAGAAAGTATGTGAGTGAGCGAATGAACGAGTGACTGTTCTTATACCGAGAGGCCGCTCGCTTTGTTGTTTAAATTTTCCAAAAATAGTAAATCCAACATAGTGTCCGTTGCACTAATATAAGACACAATGTCATTCCTTCTGATTTTATACTGACAACGTCTTCCGTGCAAAATAAATATCTCACGAAAACATGCCAACAGTCGTTATATAAAACCTGGTTTCTTCTCCTACTGCGAAATAAAAAGATAAATTTAGGCCGAAGTGGAAAATGCTTTAAGAAAGCAAACAAGACTATATAAAATTATGAATGTTACATTACGAATTGATTTCCAAGCGCTGGCCAAGCTATATGAAGAAGCACGTTCTTCTTCTTTGATTTGACTTCCACTTTACTTAGAAGCTGAAAAGCTAATAATAACAAAATCAGTCTATCCGGTAAAATCTTCAGCACAAGACGTGATCTCTAAAGACCAGTAGGCTGAAACATGGGAGGAAAAAATTATGTCTTTTTTTCTGTTTAAGTCGGACATATTGAGTGGCGGATATCACTGGTATAAATTTTACTAAAGTTGAAACTCTCACGTTATGTCTCAAAAAATGCTTTTTTTCTCACATCTGACTCCACTTTACTTATCCGACGTGCCTATCTTGTAATTTTTATGCTACGTGCATTCTCGGTTCAATAGAGCGGGTAAAATTTTTTAGCTACTATATACACTGAATTCCAGAGCTCGTCAATTCGGAAATCTTGCGACTCATGCTTGCATAGTTTAAATTTCGTTAAATGATATTATGAAATGGAAGATGTTGCAGCTAATACACCATAGCTCTATTGAAATGTACATCCCCATACTACGTCAATCTAATTAATGCGACTTTTGTTCTGCTAATAAGTATTGAAAAAACCTAGCCATTTAAGTTACTTTAGTATTGTAAGCAGTGATCGTTTTCTGATTAAATTGTAAGTAATGTTATCATCGAAAATAACAGTATTATTGTAAAAAAACTTGTGGTTTTGAAAAACAGAGAAACTTTACCTTGTTGATAGTCATAAAGATTTATTTTGTTTTACGGGAACTCTTACCGACCGGAAAGGCTGTTTGTTGGTATATTCTGTTTTTTAACTGTTTAGTAAAGGAAAATACAAACAATGAAACTTGAATTCAAAACGAAAACTGAATTTGGTATACGTGTATGATAACGTATATCAACCGATGAAATGGCCACTTTTGATTAAACTTTCTCTAAGAACTGAATTACCCTGGATTTATTCCTTTACAAGTTTCATGTTTGGGTCAGGAAAAGACCCAGTATTAACTTGCTTTCCGTGACGTTCTGTAACGATTGTCAATTAATTTACGTCAAAAATGTACCCTGATTTTGTTAAGAATAACCATTGTTTAACCGGACGTCAAGTTTTTAATAAGTGGGGGACTTCTTGTCTCACTATGGTGCCATGGATGGGATAACAGTTCCCTGATTTGATGATGAAGTATATAAGGGCCACCTTTTTGGACAAGAACATCATTTCATACTGACGCTTTAAAGAGAAGAAGTATTTTTGCTGTACGTGGA